TTGAACAGTCATCCTGTTCAAGTGTACACTTTACTTAACAAGCCAAATACTTTTTAGGAAAGCTACCTTGGTACCCCACCTAGATGACAGGCAAAAATAGGTTCTTAAAAATCTGTGATAAAAACGTAAATTTCAGGCAATACCACTGCTCTTAGCAGGACTGATGCATTTTATCAGTCATGTAAGTGAAGCTACCACGCACAGAAGATTCCCTCTGCAACAGACAAAAACCAGGAAAGCTTAAACAAAAAGGCTTCCTAGAACCAGAGTGCCAGAAGCCCTTCCACATCCTTATCGCCCTACTTACCAGTTCTGCAAAGAAGTCTTGAGGTATTAAGTTAATCTTATTTGCTGCACCACCAGCATCTAAAAAAACACAAGCAATAGCCATCAGGAGCAAACTTCAAGGGTTACAGTAAAAATATATAATCCTCGTCTGAAAAATCCTTAGGCCATCGTGCATGCGTTTACCTGAATTTAATTTTTTAACCTAAATTTACCTAAAAGAAGCACACCCCTCCTCTGAGCCCACTTCCTCCTCAGTCCAATCCCCCAACCCCACCCTTCCACGCAGCCCCCTATCCCTTTAGCCCGGTTCCCCCCTCAGCTCCCCCGTCTTCCCATCGGCCCCCCTTTCCCCTCACCTCCCCAGTCCCTCCCGCGGGTCCCCCCCCTGCCCTTACCGAGCGTCCCCAACGCCTGCGCGAGAGCCCGCGCGGACTCGGCGGCCATGGCGCCGCGCACCCGCCCAGGCGCAGCCTCCGCCGCACAGCGCTCGCCGCCCTGATTGGCTCCGAGCGCCTCCAGAGCGAGGCCGGGCCAGCGGCGCCGCTCCCATTGGCTGCGCGGCGGGGAGCATGCGCTGTTCCGGCGCGGTGGCGCGGGAAACGGGACTGGCCGTAGGGGTAACCGTCCGCGGAGGGGTTGGGAAAGGCCGGCTAGAGGCACGCTTGATTGGCGCAAGAAGTTTGCTGGGTTTGATTTACTGACAGGGCTTTCTTGGAGCTCGTTGTCATAGGCTCGGGTACGGAAATCATAGAATCACAGGATGTTAAGGGGTTGGAAGGGACCTTAAAGAGCATCTATTCTCAACTCCCCTGCCAAGGCCAGGGGCACCTCCCACTAGACCAGGTTGCTCTAGCCCTATCCCACCTGGCCTTGAACACTGCCAAGGATGGGGCATTCACAACCTCCCTGTGCAACCTGTGCCAGTGTGTCACCACCCTCACAGGAAAGAATTTCTTCTTAATATCTAAACCTACTCTCTTTAAATTTGTACCCCTTACTCTTTGTCCTATCACTGCAGTTCCTGACGAAGAGCCCCTGTCTGGCTTCCCTGTAGGCACCCTTCAGATAATGCAAAGTAGCTGTGAGGTCTCCACACAACCTTCTCTTCTCTAGGCTGAACAGCCCCAGCTTTCTCAGTCTGTCTTTGTAGGAGAGGCGATGCCCTGTTCTGTGTGCAGGCAGCACTTACAGTGTATTGAACTTGGTACAAAATGACCATACGTTGTTCAGGTGGTTTAAAGAATCATCTTGTACACCTGTGAAAAAAATGTGCAGTTTATGCGTGACTTGTGTAGGTAAACGGTGTCTTCAGCTTTATGGGGAAATAAACACCTTTTTTAAACTAGAACCATATTCAATAAGCATTTCATACTGATCTTGATTAAGTTTCGGCTGTGGCTGGAGTACTAAGGCAACACTGATCCTTCACCGGTCTCACTTTTAAAAATAATGTTTTTAAACTTCTCTAGTAATCAGTTTTAGTTTTAATTTTATATATCTACAGTAATGTTAAAATCTCTGTAGATCTAATCTGAGACTGTGACAGAGTAGTAAAACATAATACATAGTATTGCTGACTAGTTTAAAATTACATATTTTCAATTAATGAAAGAATCTAGATTATATTTCAGGAAAAGAGTATTATGGAACATAATATGTGTTTATGAGTTTTATACATTTATGGCCTGTCTGGTCTTGGCCTCTCCCTTCTAAAGTATCTAATGAAGTGTGCAAATTATTTTAAATAGTGTGTGTTCTTATGACCTCATGGTTGTCAAAACACTAGCGATATATGCACCACTGAGATCTGTCTCTGATACCAAGGACATGACTTAACAATCTCTTTGTTCTTAAATTACATAACTCTATTACATACTTTGTTATCTAGAGAACTTCACATGTTATTTTACATTACAATTTCATTAAGTCTGTCAGTAGTGCCTTTAGCACTATGACTAATATTCATTATGGTACTTTTCTTTCTTTCTCCAAGATGTAGAGATGGATGTGAAGTTTAATATCTTCGTGGTTTGGTAATTACAAAATCATTTGCTGAAATTTGAAGTTATTTTGGGTTATTTTCATCAACATGTAAACATACTTTTAATTTTTTGAATTTGGAACAGAAGGTGGTGAAGTACACGGTGATTTCAGCTTGTCTGCCCATCCACAGAATTAAACTGTGCATCTTTAGAAAATTCTGCCTTTTGGAAGTGTGTTCTATGAAGTTTTTCATGGCAGAGAACAGAGATTCAGGCTATGATGGTGACCTGACAGTACAGGCTCATCTTTTAGCTAGAGGACTGAGAAGTTCCTCTGAGGAGACACTTAGTATAGAAACTAGAAGACAAATGTCATGAGCTACAAGTAGACTGAATAGAGAGATGCTACAGTATTGTTGACAGGCCAAAGCAGAAGCTTCAGGCATAGGCATGTAGCATCACCATAGTCCTGCTCAGTAATAACAGGGGGTAAAATAAAATAAAAACATCATTTCTTCAATTAGTAAATTTAACATTTACAGAAGGCAGTGCAATTTGCATCAAAACTCTCTAAAGAACTACACCAAGTTCTTCAAAAAGCTCTTCAGGAGAAAGCGTATCAGTGAACTGGGTTCCTCCAGTGCCTGGGCCCTCAGCTGTGCCCCAACACCCTGCCCTTCTGGCCTCCTGGCACTTAGGTACTTCTAGGTACCACAGTACTTAGAGACAGCATCTGCTCCTCATGCTGCACTCCTTCCTTCTCTCACAGCACTCCAATTAGCCGGTGAGCTGGCACAGATCCCAGCTTTCCTGCACCCTCTCCGCTCACCGAGATGTACATGCGTTCTCAGACACCTGCTTCCCGCTGCCCCAGGTCTTTGTGCTCACAGGCCAGGCAGGCTGGGAGACCCAGCTCATGGGCTTCTACAAAAACCTTGTCCAAATGTCTGCCTCTGGAAGTGCAAGGCCCTGTAAAAGTGCTGCAAGGGACGCACAGGTCAGCTGCAGTCTGTAGAGGGTGGTGGAAAGCAGCAGTCAGGGAGGGCTGAGGCCGAGAAATCAGAGAATCACAGAATCAGTTGGGTTGCAAAAGACCTCTGAGATCATCAAATCCAACCTACAACCAAACACCACCATGTAAATTAGACCATGGCACTAAGTCCCCCATACAGTCTTTCCTTAAATACCTCCAGGGATGGTGACTCCATCACCGCTGTGTCTAATCACAGCTTCTCTGAAGAAATTCCTCCTAATGTCCAACCTGAACCTACCCTAGTGCAGCTTAAGACTACGTCCTCTCATCCTGTCACTAGCTGTCTGGGAGAAGAGGCTGAACCCCACCTTGCTACAACCTCCTTGAAGGCAGTTGTAGAGATCAATAAGGTCCCTCCTCTTCTCCAGGTTGAACACCCCCAGCTCCCTCAGGCACTCCTCATAAGACCTGTGCTTGAGTCCCTTCACCAGCTTCATTGCCCTTCTTTGGACCTGCTCCAGCACCTCAACATCTTTCATAAATTAAGGGGCCCAGAACGGAACACAGTACTTGAGGTGCAACCTCACCAGTGCCATGATGGGTTCCTTCATTTTTAGCCTTTCTGAATTAACTTGAAAGAAGGCATCTGGTATGCATCTGGTATGTGTACATATATAAAATGTAATTACACTGTATAAGCTATGTATCTATTACAATATGCTTTATCATGATGATTACGATATGCTTCATCGTAGCCAAAAGGCCAAGAAATGCTACGTTTATGGTCCTGAGATGGAATGTATGAGGAGACTGGCAGCTTTAGAAGAGAAATGCCATCTTTAATTGGGTTTAACACATATTAACAATAATTTTCAGCAGATCATATGGGGACCTCACTGCCCAGGTCCTTCCTGCTACACACACTGAGGTCTTTTCAGGTGAGGGGCAGGCACTGATCTCTTCTCTCTGGCAACCAGTGACAGGACCCGAGGGAATAGCCTTAAGTTGTGTCAGGGGAGAGGTAAGTAAGATATTAGAAAATACCAGAGGGTGGCTGGGCACTGGAACAGGCTTCCCAGGGAAGTGGTCACAGCAGACAAGACTCTCAGGCACATGGTGTGACTCTTGGGGTGTCCTGTGCAGGGCCAGGAGTTGGACTGGATGATCCCTATGGGCCCCTTCCAACTCAGAACATTCTGTGATGTAGGGGAAGCTCACTGCGACTGCCGCTCCTTCTGATTCCCTTTGTCCCACCTCGCCCCGTGTCCTGCCCCGTTCCCCATGGGTGTGTTTCCCTGCGCGCTGCCCGTGCCGCCGTTCAGCTCAGCTGCTGGAGGCCATTTCAGAGGGGCCGGGCTGTCGAAGAGCTTGGCGGCCGCTCCTCACTCACCCTTGGTTCCTGCCGGGATCGGCTCCAGCGGGAGCCGGAGGGGGAGCGGGAACGGACCCGACACGCCCCGGCACCGAGCGGCCGCGGCGGGGGCGCCCCCTAGCGGCTGCCGCGGGCCCCGGCGGCAGGGGCGGGCGAGGCACCACCCCTTGCCCCGCTGGGAGAATCCATTGCCGGGGGGAGCTGAAACAGTGCGGAGTGGAAGATTTGCCGGGCATTGCCACGCGGAGCATCCAGGGACGGATGGTGGTCATCGCCGGCCGCGCCGCCTCGGCCGCCGCTGCGGAGCGGCGCGGAGGTGCGGACAGGCTCTCGAGGGTTGTCTCCTCCTCGGCCCGCCCCCCCTGAGCGGCGCGGTGGCGCAGCCCCGGGTCAGGCTGAGGCGCGGCGGCGCGAGGCGCTGTCAGAGCCGCTGTGCGAGTTCTGCCCGGCCTGCACGGGGAGCGCCACCGCTGCCATGGAGCCCCATCGCTGGCTGCCCCTGGAGGCCAACCCCGACGTGAGTGCCCGGCATGAGCGGTGGGAGGGCTGCCCGCCCGGCAGCCAGCCTGCTGTGCTAGGATAACGGAGGGCGGGAGGATGGCGAAGGGCAGAGATCTCGGGGCCGCGCCGGGCTCAGCATCGCCTCCTCGGGGATGTCAGGGAACGGGAGAGGTCTTAGCCCGTGGATCCGACTGGGGTCATAACGCGCTTTTGTTTTCTGCTTTCTTTTCAGGTCACGAATCAGGTAAGCAGCTTTTATCTGAGGTAACCTTTAGTCTCTCTGCAACTTTGGGCCCGTCTCGTCTCGTTTTCCTGTATTAAAGGCTCCTGCTTCTCCTGGAAGAGTGCCCCCTTCCTCATTTAACGCGTGTCCGCGCTCAGTCGTCTCATGTTGGACCGTACTGGAATCTCTCACGTAAAGATACTATATGAAAGAAAAAAAAACAAACCAAAAAACCAACAGTAAAAAGAGAATAGTTATGGCCTGGCTATTAACGTAATAAAATGTGTTTCAAGGTGGGTTTTAATTAGTTAATTAATGATTAAATTATTATTATATATTTACATGTAATGTACCAGTTGTGGACATGGACATGATGGTTTTGTGCTCGTGTAAGGACTTGCTTGCATCTCTGTATCACAGTCTCATTCTCCTTTGGCTGACCATAAGAAATAATGTCACTTTACCATTTACACTTTGCAGCTTATACATGACCATATTTGCATGTTTTATTGTTGCTGTTTTTGTCAGGGTGGTAGAACCCACACTAGAGAAAAGAAGCTTGTTCTAGTGCAGAAAACAATGCTCATGCTAAATAAACTCTGGCTGAAGGGAAATCACACATACTCCAGCCCTGCATCATGTTCTCAGTGATAATTCTGAGCGTCTTTAACAAGCATTGGAGGTCAGATGTTGATTTCAGCAGGCCTGTTGATAATGTTAAAGATGGTGTTTAAGCCAAAACGCTTTGAAGCTTCCAGCGGTAAGATTACATTCTTAAAACTATGTTGTTGAAATATTTTGGAAACTGGGAATTTTTGTGTGTGAAGAATGTCTTGTTTGGTTTTTTTCGTTGTGGCTGCCGTAACGTCCAACCTGCATCTGCAGGAGAGTAAAGGGTTATTTGATGCTGGGTGATTTTGTACTTTATAGTTTCCTAGGGCAAATAATTTTACAATTCTTACGGTATTGCTGCTGTGGAGCAATTTGAGATGTTTGTAATCGCAGTTTCCTGAATTAAAATTGACAGCCTTTCCTGGGAGCCCTTCCTGAACATGTGCTATTATTTCCTCATGTTACTTGTTTGTTTTTTTTTTTTTTTCTCTTTTTGAAATTCAGAGGCTAAATTTCAGTTTGGAAGAAAATAAGTGTGAATAAATGACTAGTAGAATTTGAAATTCTCTAACTTCTTTTGACTTTCCAAATATTGACATGAGCTCATCATGGTACAAATTAAGTAAAGTAGAAATTGAGGAAAAAAAACTAGTGACTGGTGTTTAAGCTGAAATATTTTATATCACTACATGTTCCTTATATGGAGAATATCCTAGAAGAATGTTAAATGAATACTTCTAAGCGTATTTAAAATCCATCTCTCTTGTTCATTGGCTCTGCATTGGTGATGGATATCTGTCACTTGTGAATGAATATGCATTATAGGAATTTGTACTCTACAAGTAATTACTTGTTAATATTTCTGTGTAGAAAAGGCCACTTGAGACCGGTTAGACTTCCTGAGCAGTCTTAACTGAGCAGGGGTTGTTATTATCTAGACTGAGATGTGGCTATTTAAAAAAAAAAAAAAGGGTGAGCATTGAATGTGAATACACCTTGCCTTATTAGTCATTGTTCCTTTTAATCTCGTAATTTCAGTGATGAACTGTGTTGCAACAGGGCTGTTAGTCACAAGTTATTCATACCCTGCTTATGTTAAAACCAATAATAACAGTAAGTCAAGATTCAAATGAAGTTGCAAACTTCTTTTTAGAAAATCCTGTTGAGGGATGTCTGCAAGGACAGACATTTTTTTGCAGTACTCTGTACTGTGCTCTGTAAAATATTCCAGAAGTCTTCAGGATTAAAAAAAACCAGTGGTGTGCCTCCACAAACTAAAATGACATGCTAGGTGTGGTAGTGAACTCTTCAAACAAAAATTTCAGTGGCTTGTAAAATGCATGGACTCTGAAGTTTTGGATTGTAGTTAAAACTCTCATTACGATTTAACAAATGCTTAGGCTGTTTTGATTATTGTATCAATCATTCCCTTTTTTAATAGTAACTAGAAAAGAAGTGTACTAAATGCAGGTTCATTTGCTTTTAGTATATTCTTACCATACTCTGTGCTCTCTAGTTTTGAAATATAAGTTGTAAATTTGAGGATTTCAGTCTTTGTGGTAGAAATTCAGCAATAATGGAGAAGAACTGGTATTTCTCAGTTATGGGGTGTGTGAAATCGTTCAGAAATATCTCAAAAGTTTTTCTGTCTCTGAAAGTGTTTATATTATAATGCAAGTCTAGGAATTTCCAAGTCCTTTGTGGATATAGAACATCTCTGTGCCTATGTGCTAGAATTATTTAAAGCTTCAGAAACCGGCTGGTGAGGGTAAAGAGGAATATTCTTTCTTAGTTTTAAAGATTTCCAGTGGCAGTGACTCATCCAGAATACCACAGCTGTGTATTCGTAGTGATGTTTTTAAGGAAGAATGTACCACAGTTAAATGTGCCACACAGTGGTAATTGTAATGAGCAAAATCAGTGGTTAAATGTACCATACAGTGCTAAGGTAATTGTCACAGTACTTGTTTTTTTCTCCTTCACTTCTACAGTCTTGACAGAATGAATTGTTGTCCACCTCTGATACAGAATGAATTGATGATTCAGCATTTACAAAGCTCCACTTTGTGTACAGTGGTGACAGGGAATGGTTTCTTCTCTTTGACCTTCATCTGGGGGGCCTGCTGTGACCAGTGCTGCCCTTCTTCCTGAATCTCTTATGAGATTTTCCCCACTAATGGGAGAGAGAAGGCAAGCAAATTGTGTTTATCTGCCCACTGTTTACCACATGATGCTTGTCTGCATATCTTGTTCTCAATTTCTTCTACTACCCAAAGAAAACAAACCAGACTACATGCAAATTTTTGAGTGAAAAGATCAGAACACAAGCTGATTGTTCTTCATCATGATGTTGCTTCAGTCTGGCTTGCAGCCCACAATTGATTGCCCAGCAAGTGTAAATAAACAAAAAAGTAGTATTGATGGATCTTTTTCTTGATCTCCTACCTTTTTTCATTCTCTCTTCCCTTTCTTCATCTCACATATTCTAAGAAATTTCCTTACTTCCTGGATAAGGTACCATCAACTCCCATCATCATTAAATCCAGATAAGGGTAAAGTAATTGGCTGCATCTGATGAGTGCTAAAGCAGTGGCTTCAGGTAGCTCAAAGGTAAACTGTTGAGAGTTGGCTGTGGCTTGGGTTTCTCTTGCCCCATAGAGCCAGAACTTCCTGGTTCTTAGTTACCTTCCAGCATTATTTTCAGGCCTTTGATCCTGCTTTTTGGGGTTGGGTTTTTTTGGTTGGTTGGTTTTTTTAAGCCATTAAGGTATTGAGAGTCAGCTACATAAAGAGATTTATTTTAGCTCATGAGCACCCTTGACAGCTGTGACTTTAAAGTTACAGGGCAATAAAGATCTCAAACATAGAACAAATGGCAGAAACTGGATGCAGCCAATCTTTGACCATTTATGGAACACATATCTTCAGGGTGTTAGGCAAATACAGAGATGGATTAAGTATTAATTATCTTGGAAACAGTATCTTCCTAAGGTCTTTCCATTTTCTGAACTCTGAAACACTATCCCACAAGCTTTGCCAAAGGAAAGCTAAACTGATCAAAGTAATTGAAAAGACGGTGCTTTTGGTTTCTTGAAGTGTGTTGGGAACTAGCACTCATAGATGAGCTCCTGTGTTGGAGTGAAAGGATGTCAGAAATGGAGAAACACAGATGTCCTTCTGAAAATGCTTAGCTAAACTTACTTTTTTTTTCAGGTGAGGGAGTGGAGTTTAACTCTTGTGGTAAGCAGAATGAAAACAGTGGAGATAGCATGCATCTCCACTTGGAAAACAGCCTGTTGTTATGGGTGTAGACTGAGAAAGTGGAAAACTAGGAGGACTGTGTGTGTGTCCTTCTGTAAAGACTACACCTCAGAAAGCCTTCCACAGAGCCATCAAAGGGGGAGTGCTGGGACTATGGCACAGCATAGCAAAGACAAGGACAAATATGAAGGGATTGTAGATGTCCACTGGGAGAGCACGTCATAAATGGCTTCTAGTTTAAGATACCTCCAGCTATGTAGCTGTCTTACTGAGTTTAAATAGGTAGATATTTTGCAAAGAGAAAATTGTAATTTGTTTTGGGGTTATTTATATGGATAGTTGAAAGATTGACTTAGGTCTGTCTTTGTGTGTTTTTCAGTAAATGAAAGCAAAGAAAACCATATCTTTAATTTCTCTGTTTGTACTTGCCTCTTCTGGCCTTTTCTTATGCTCTTTATTGCTCAGTTTCTTAGTTCTTGTAACAAGGAAACCCTTACTGTCTTGAAGACAGAATGGGGTGCTACAGAGTGGAGAATAAGTGACAGTGGTTCATGTCATACGTTATCTTGTTGCACTGAAAATGCTGTTCCCCACTTCCACATTTTCCTTTCTTAAAGGACCAGCAGAATCAGTAGAATCCAATTATTGTTATAGTAGAACTGTAAAAAAGAAATATGTATAACAGCTTATTTAGAAGAGTGGATTTATCCAGCTCATCCCTGTTATGAATGACTTTTTAGATCATGGAAACAGGTCTCTTAAGTATAACAGGATATCCTGTTTTGAACCAGTGGCTCAGTAGCTGCATCTCAGGACTCTGCTGGAAGCATTCTAAAGCTCTTGCTTCCTGGGATGGTTTTGAAAGAAGCCTGGATCAGCTGGTTAGTCCAGTTTGGTGCATGCTTTGCGTTGCTGCTTCTGGGATGCCCGGGGCCAATATATACGCCTTTGCCTGGGCATACTGAGTATTCAGTTTCCAAACTACTCCTTGGATATATTAAAAATATATACCTCTCATTGTGAAGAACAGGAACACTAACTATAAGTCAGTGCTGCTCTTTTAGACACCCTAAAGAAATAAACACAAGTGGAAGGATAAGAATTTTGTGGGTGTATGTTTTCTCACATTTTTGATCATGTTGATGTTGAAGGTGTTCTTTCTCCCTCCTTCATTGCAAAACTTGCAAAACGAATTTGTCATGATGATAAATGGGCTGTATTCTCTGAACTTCATTATGAGGTCCTGAAATAGAGAGCTTGAGGATATTAAAGAATTTATAATAAATCTTGAATGTCCCAAGGAAGTCTGTTATAATGGAGCATCCCTTGTTTGAGCAAGATCATAATGGGGCCATCCTAAGTGAGAAGTAGGTGGTACAGAAGAGTAATGCACCTCATGTAAGTTCCAGCTATCTCTTTGTTCCTGGTATGCCTTTTGACCTGCTGTACAGAGCTAAAGTTTCTACAGCTCCTGCCTACCGAGGTGACACGCCTTCTCTGAGATTTATTGAAAAATTATTCCTTTGTTTTAATTCCATAAATGTTAAAAGAATGAAGAAATATATCCTTGTAATGCCCTAACAATAAAATGTTATTTGCGTGGTTCCTTTATTTTTAGAAAGGAATTTCACTTGTGAAACAGACTTGGTTTTGTTATATGCCTCTAGGAATTATGTATAAAGAATTGAAAGCAAAATATTGTGCATTTATATTTTTAGTATAGATTAGTTTAATAAGAATTGGATACTTTAAAGAATGAATAATTTTCTTGATGATAATCTCATCAGTTATATTTTACAGCTATGTTTTAATCCACTGAGTAGAAGTACAATAAATTGTAGACTTCGTTGGTGTCTTGGTTTGCATTTGTGCTTAGAAGAGGATTACAACAGTTGGTTCTTCCTACAGAAGCTCTTTGACTTTGGCATCTGAGTGTCTGGAAATGTTTGTGTGTTTTGCCAGTTTTATGTTTTCACAGTTCCAACTTGTATACAAACACCTCACTAAGATATGGAAAACTCAAAGTCTTCGGTATAACACCTTAGTATTTAGAATGTGACTATCTTGAAATATTTGCAGATGCTGTCCAAATTTAATTGCACTTAAATTTCAAGGTCCTATTTTGTTTCAGTTTTTGTCCTCCCTGTTTTTACATGCATGTGACAAAGTAGAAAAGCACGTTGCTACTTCAGACAATATTTAAATTGCACATTTACTACTTCAGAAGTTTTCTGTTAAAATAAATTGCACCCTTACGCTGCCTTACCCCACTTACCCTTTCCACCATCAATCCCACAGATCAAATCTTCTTGCTGTCTCTGTAATTGTGTTGGCAGAAGTAGTATTCTTAACGGCTGAAGTCAAGTCACCTGGATTGCCTTTGTCCACTGCATTTCCATTCTGGTTTTGAGGATCCTTAAATAATAAGCACGATCACTTTTCCTGTTTTTTAAATGAAATAAATCTCATGAACCTAAACAGTAGCCGGTGTGCCTCAGAACAGAATAGTGTATTAAAGATAACTGCTCTGTGTTTCTTTCAGTGCTTAACATCTGGTAGGTTAAAGTTGTGGTACCAACAATGAAAACAGTATAGGTTATACCACATGCTGCACAGGGAACATGTCTGAATGTTCTTCCTGTAGTGTTTTTGCTATTAACCAACATTTAGACATACAGATTTACAGTTTGTTATCATTTAGAATAGAATGAGGTAGGCTGGAAGGAACCTTTTGAGTTTTTCAGACCAGCCATGCTCTGTTCAAAACAGATTCTCAACAGCCTGTCAAGTTCTGAATTTCTCAGAAGATAGGGACTCCTCAGCCTCCTGGGCAGTCTGTGCTAGTGTTTTGCCATGGTTGTTATTTTTAAAATTTATTTTTAAATGCCTTCCTTATCGAGTTCAAATTTGCCTGTGTTTTCTCATTGTTTTACTGTGTACTGCTGAGATGATTCTGCCTCCATCTTCTCTGCACTTTCCCTTAACTAGTTAAAACCAGCAATAATCAAGTGAGAAAGAAGGGCCTTCTGGAATACTGTGGGAAATGAGAAATTCATAGTAAGTGCAGATAAGGGGTGCAGGAGTGTGTGTAAAGTAATTTCAAAAGTTGCTTTTTGAAAATGGTTAGCTGGACCAGTGAAAAACCAGGAAATGTTTTTCAGGAAGGTATTTTAAAATAACAAAAGAGACAACCAAAAATATGATAACAATCAGTAAAAGAAAGTTCTGAAACAGTTAATACTAGATACAGACGTGGGGGGGTTGTGGGGGTGGTGTTCCTAATCTCCTGTAAGACTTCTGTAATATATCCAAGTTTTTTTTTCTTTTCTAAGGTAAAAAGCTTGAAGACCTATAAATCAGCAGTGTGATAAGCAGTGTCTGTGAAAGAGAATCTGATACTCTCTTGTGCAGATCTAGGGCTGCTATTTTATGTTATGTTGAGTTCGTAGTATCATTAAGTTAAGAGAAGGTAAGCAGTGGAAAGTGAGTGAGCCCTTGAAGTACCCTAACTGTTCCTTCCAGTAGAATAAAATTGTTTGTGTAGTCACTGAGTAATTGGAACACAAAGCAGCACAGGTCTCTCCCTATAATTGACACTGTCTAAAAAGCATACAGAGCTGTCTGCTGTCCTTTAACAGGAATGGTTTTGTCAGTGGGGAAGGGGTACTTCACCTCCTGTTGCTTTACTGACTCCTTTTTGTACCAAAATCTTTGTCTGGCCAAGGAAAGAGCCAGAAAATTACTGAGGGAGGGGAAAATATAGAAGTCTAATGTAAGTATTAGTGTAGCTTATTAAAATTGAAGCTGTTGCTGGTGACATTTATTTTTCTGACTTTCCTGTGTCACATCTAATACTGATTTTTGTCCCGCTAGAGAACTTTACCTGGTTCCTAACAACTTGGTTTTATTCCTACAAATTTTCTTTTCCCTGTCCTTGCTAAATACAGTCTTGCCTTTTTTTTTACCCCAGTTGCCAAAGATTACATACCTGACTGTCACTGACTGAACTCCATCTTTTTCTTTGCATGTATCCACGTTAAAAATTAGTTCCATATATTTGTTTTAAGGATCCTTCCCGTCCTGCCATCTGTTGCTCAGATCTTACCCAAATGTCAGTCTCTTACACAGAGGCTAATGCTGCACAGTTTTTAACATCTACTTAATTTTTAGAAGGATATTTTAATCCTTTTTTTTTTTATTGTTTTCCAAGCCTGAACAAAACCCTCTTGATACACAGAGGGATATCTTCTTTGCCTATTTTGGGTCTGTTTAGTATTTTATTTTTGTTTTATGGTTCTACAATAAAGTTGTTAGGCAGACTGAGTGTTAAGATCACTGCTTGTCAGACTAAGCCTGTGCTCTTGCTGTTCCTCTGTAGTGCTGACCATCGTTTCTTGTCACCACTCTCATTGCTTACTAGAAGTTACAGTTTCTTGGATTGTAAAGTTTCTAGGTAGTATTGTAACAAGAGTAATAGAAGGTGCCCTATATCTGTGGAGTTCTAATTATGTTAAATACTTAATTCAGGAGTTTGTAATGCTTTAATGCTTTAGTAAATAGTGCTGTGAGTGTTTCCACTTTCCTTTCATAAAGACTATTAAAATGCATAAAACATGGGGATTTTGTGTGTCTTTGTTAGCACTATGATTTATTCAGCCTTATTTCTTAAAACTTGAATCTTATTTATTCTCCTTAAATTTTGGAAAGTATGACTTGTTGCAATGTATTTCACATTGTAAATACTCTGTTATGCTTCTGAAAAGATAGTATATGAACGTACTGATTTAATATTATACTATTTTTTTTTATTTTCCAGTTCCTCAAACAGTTGGGTATACATCCTGACTGGCAATTTGTAGACGTTTATGGTATGGAACCAGAGTTGCTTAGCATGGTGCCAAGACCTGTATGTGCAGTGCTACTTCTCTTTCCAATAACAGAAAAGGTAAATGTTTATTTAATAACCAGTTCATTGTTTTGGTTGTAAATGAAATGGGGATCAGCAGTTTGAATCTTGTACTTTGGTACCATAATAGATTCAAGGTGAGACTGAAGCCTTATTCAAGAGACTTCTTAATTAAAAATAACACAACAAAATGCTTCCTTCAGAACCTTCTTTTGATAACTTGCAAGTATATTGCTAATTTCTTTTCAAATTTGAATGGGAAAAGCTAATGTAGAAGCAGAGAGGAATATCTCACATTTTTCTATTATAGACAATTTATGACTTTTTTTTTAATATGCACTGTGAAATGGCTCAATTCTCCTATTTTTAGCAGAAAACTACAATAGCAAAGGCAAAATAAGAAGTAGAGTAGAGGACTATCAAGTGCAACTACTTTTTAAGTTTTCATCCTGTTGCACTGACCAAAGTTCCATCCACTTTCAGTTCAGTCATCAGTATTGATATGGCTTTTGCTTCATGGACAGATGGGGTGTATTTCTAAGATGAAAGACAATTTCCACCCCTTCTTTCTCTATAGTAGACTTTGGAGCACTTGGTTTGGTTAAACATTCAAGTCTGGTTCTTTTGTGTCATCATGTGTGTCTACATGGTGTTATTCATAGTGATCTTTCAATTTGTAAAAATCTTATGTGATTGTGATAAGGTCAACCAAAAAGCTTGAAGTAGGTCTGCCCAAACTTCATTCTTTTAATATGTCCCTCAAAAAGAACACGTGGTTTGTGAGGACAAACCACTTAGCTATTAAAGCTTAACTTCTACAACAAAATGTGTTTAAATACAGAGAAGAGTGACAGTTCAGTCTTTTTACATGTTAGGTCCTGTAAACCTCTGCATTCTCAGTTTTTCCAGAACAGCTATGCAGGCAGTCCGTTTCAAGCTTTATTTTGGCCACCTTGATAGTTTTGAGCTTAAGCAAGCTCTTCACTCACCTGTCTTCAGGAAATGTCCTCTCTGTCACCTTTGAGTCATTGTTATCTGTGTGCTGTAGTTTGTGTCTGGGTGCTCGAGCTACAGGTTCTGAGCTCCTTCTGTGACTGTCACTTTTGTTTTGCCTCCCTACTTACGTAAACCACCTTTTTTTTGGACCATGTTATGGGAGCACCATCCAGTGGAAAGAACAACCTTCCTCTTGTTCCAGAAGGCGTATCCAGTTTCATCCCGAAGAAGCATATGACAAAGAAAACCAGAGAAAAAACCATATGCTCTGTTGCATCAATCAATCAAATTTGTCCACTAGCCAAACATTCAGCATGTTAATCCTTCTGAAACATAAGGGACACAAGTGTTTCTGTCAACTGGTTAGCTTGAGTGTGTGAAGGCTGACTCTTTCGTGTGAAGTCCCAATGTTCTGAACCTTTCGTTCTCCTGTATGAACTCCACAAGACCCTTCAGCATTATTTTGTATTTCTGGAGTAATTTTCTACTCCTCAGCCTCCCTTTCAGAATGGCCTGTAATATTATGTTTTTACTTAATTTATTATTTGTTTCTGTTTCTTGGCTGTGTCTATGTTTATGAAAGTGTGCCTCTTAATTAATTTTGCTGCCTTTGCAAACACTTCTCTAACATGTCTATTCTGTCTGAAGTTCCATTTTTTCATGTTTCCTTTATATCAATTTTCTTTAACTTGCTTTTAGGGCAAGATACTCTTGTTGTCATACAGGTAATTTTAGGGTTGTTGTCCAGTTTAAAATTCAATGGCTTTCTTAGTCTGCATTGTGGGTTGTGGATAAAGTGAATACTGTGAGTGTTGGCCATACTGGACATGGTCTGATGAATGGGATAGCTCAGGTTAGGAAGTGATCTGGTCTATGCCTTGCTCAAAATTGTATTTTTGGTATTCTCAGCATTTATGTATTTATTTTTTGCCATGGAGTTTATTTTGGTTGGCAGGGAATGAATGGCAGCTATATTGTTTACCTTCTCTACTCTGAACTTTTTCTCCAATTAAGCTCTATGAAATTTTTATCTCAATTAAGCTTATTTTTTGGTAACTTGTAGTTAAGTGGTGCCAAGTTAAAATGGTTTGTAATTCTCTTGATATTAGTTAGATTATGAAGAACATTCAGACAAGATGCAAGTGTGGAATAAGATGCTGGAAAAATTTCTTGGGTTTTTTTTGTCACTGACGGTACATAGAGTCTGAGGGAAATTTCTCATGAGTTTTCTGGAAGAGTTCCTTGATAACATTCTGCATTCATATGTTCCTTTTGTCACATTTCCATAAAAAGCCCATCTATTTCAATTTTTTTTGTCTGCAAAAGTACCTAGTAAAAGAGGCAAAAGAGGAAGCATTGTCTGGAACATTTGCGGATTTCTTTCTTTTTCTATTTGAAATTAAAATCTTGAAAAAACAACCAAACAAAAATAAAACAAAGAAACAAATCCAACCAAAAAAACCCCTCAACGCTCCCCCTAAAGGACCAACAAACCACAGACAACAAAAAACCTCCACAAAACAACACACTATTGGGCAGTGTAACAGATTTTAGTCAATTATTGTCTTTATAAAACAAGTACTGAGCAAGATCGTTCAGTCAAACTAAATTCATTTTTACTACAGAAAATATTTTTTTTATGAATATGGCTTTTGAAGGGCCTGTTTTAGGGCCCTATAAAAATATATAAATGTGTTTATATAAATCTTATTTTATATTCCTGGGAAAAATGAAATGTAACAATGAAATTTTAAGAATGCTTCATGATGATTAATCACCTGAAGTATCACGGTTTTCTAGAAAGCACTTTGAGCCTTGTGTCCTTAAAAAGCCTTTTGTGGAATTGAAGAGAGATGATGACAGGTGCTGAGATCAAGGAAATAATTTAAATATTTTTGAAGTTATGTCAGATAACACATAATTCAAAATGATGTTTCAAATGTGACAGTATTTTGGTTAGTGTCAAGGCATTGGTTTAAGAAACAATATAGAGCTGTTCAGGTGAGTAAGTTTACATACACCTGCTGGACCACCCACGTTAAATATTTCAAATTACAATATTAATTAGGTGTTGCTTTTTATAAATTATTTTTGCTTGATAACGCAGCTATTTGTACTATTTGTGAAATGTCTTTAACTGTCTTTATAGTATGAAACCTTCAGAACAGAAGAAGAAGAGAGAATAAAAGCTAAGGGGCAAGACGTGAAATCATCAGTGTATTTCATGAAACAGACCATTAACAATGCTTGTGGAACAATTGGGCTAATTCATGCTATTGCAAACAACAGAGATAAAATGAACTTTGGTAAGTTTTTTTGGTTGGGTTTTTTGTTGGCTTTTTCCTTAAAGGAAAGGGATACATTTTGTAAAGGAAGGATACATTTTGTACTGTTTTCTCTGAATATAACCATTCATAAATGATGAACTCTGTTCAAAGTGCATTTCTACCTATAATTACAAACCCAGTATTTTATACTAATGTACAACTAAAGCACTTGAAACATTGCAAACTGCAGCAGGTAGCAGTTCCTCTTGCAGTCAACCTTCAGGGTCTTTAAGACATAGTGTAATTCTATCTTCAAATCTTTTGTTGGATTCTGTAAGCTTTGAATGAAGTTGGAATTAAAACATGACACTAATCGTTTTTTGGTTTTTTTAAGAAACTAATTCTTCACTGAAGAAATTCCTAGAAGATTCATTATCTATGACTCCTGAAGAGAGGGCCAAATATCTAGAAACTTATGAAGTTAGTATGTGTTTTTACTTTTATTTAAAATGGTATAAGAATTACTTGCATGAGCAGGTACTGTCCATAGGACTTGACTCAGTGAAGCACCTAAACAGTTTGGTTTTACAGTGAGCTTGTGATCAGACAGTTGCTACAAAGAAAACTCTCCTTTGGTATTTTAGAGTATTTTTTGCTGCCCATAGCTCAGTCAGCAGAATGGTTTTTGGCAGTGTTCCTCATCCATATTAATTCACTGGCTTAGTTTAAAATTACTTTGAAATGCATGAGAAATGCGTGCATAATCTTCTTTTTTGTGTGTTCAGGATGCAGTTTAATGGTCAACTTAGGCTGATTTGGTGCTATTGCTGAAAGGATGGTCCTTCTGCTTTCTCTTTTCATTTGTGCCTTCTAGTCACATCTCCGTGGGTTTAGCAGTTGAGGCACACAAAAGAGCTGATTTGGCTGAAATATAATCTCCTTCCCCCACGACCCCAGACAATGAGATGAGCTAGCTGGTAAAGTGGTTAGCCTCATCATTAGTGCTGTTCAAAAGGATGTGACAGAAACATCTGGCCAGTGGTGAAAGGAGAACAACATGGTTGCTCCTGATGGTAATGGTGATCCTCTGTAAAAATGAAAACCTTGATGATTTCTAAATCTGAGTTCAATTTAAGCTTATTGTGAAGCCCCTAGGAATATGAGTGTTAATATGTAGTTGAAGGAAGTAGTAACAAACAGAAACAGCATAGGTTTGATGACATTTTCTATAGAAATATACAAAATACCTGATCGGAGCCTCTATCTAAGTTATTTTGTCTGCTCGAGAAGTGATGGTAAACAAAAACACTTGCTTGTAGTGTTTTCTTTGTGTAAAAGTGCCATTTCAAACTGTCAGATATTTGATCTGAATTGATTGTAATGCAACTGAAATATTGGTCTTCCAAGATCCTTGGATGTGGAGATTATTTGTTTATTATCTTATTTATTTATTACAAGCACTGAACAAAAATACTTACATCTATGGCATTTGATATAACAAAGAGCATAAGTAGATCTTAAAACATTGGAAGTCTCTCATTTAAGGTCTGATTGAAATATGTTTTAATTTTAGGCTATTCGTGTCACTCATGAATCCAGTGCCCATGAAGGTCAGACTGAGGTATTCATTTTTTAAAAAAGTCTTTGTTAATAAATACTTTGAGTTTAATATAATTGACATGAGAACAATAATATATTAAAGATTTACAGTGAAATTGAGATTATTACTTGGTTTGCAATATTGTGTCATGAGTCCAAGATCAGGGCACAAAGTGACAATGTTGGGGGGAAAACCAAAATTGAAGCTTGGGGGTTTATATTTGTTTGGTTTGGGGGTTTGTTGTTATTTGTTTGCGTTCGGTTTTTTAGCTCTTATGTAACATGGAAGATCTTTTCAAGCTTCAATTCAGAGTAAAACAGACAGTAATACTATTTTTAATGAAAGTTAAGGTTTTGCTGTTGCAAATTTGTAGGGAAGACTGTAAGATCCGTAGTACATCACACAAATGGAACAAACATTTTATGAGAGTTTGAAAAGTTTTACTTCAGGAAAAAAAATAGTGCAATACTTGGTTTGCGATCGTCTATGTGCTATTCGTATACAATACAAATTCAAATAAATTCTCACTAATGTATATATTTATTAGCATTTGTGCCCCAACAGATTGTGTGATATGGAAAGTAACCTAAAAGCTGACAAAAACCCTTAAAATCAACATAAACGTTACCATTCACCATTTTCCTGCTTCAGTTATATTAAGTCTATTTCACATATTTCCTGTTCAGATTTCAGTATCTGTTCCACAGGAAAAAAAAAAAAAGATTGTTGCTAACACTGCTTTGACAAAACCCTTCTATGTTGGGCTGTGACTCCAACGACTCATCCATTCTCTCTTTTTGTTGTACAGTAGGTGAGGTTTTCTTTCTCTTGTGCAGTGTCTTCCAGACAAGGCAGGAGAAAGCAAAGCAGTTCTTTCTGCTCCCCCTTACCTTGTTGGGAAATGAAAATTAAGAGAATTGCTTTAACTATTTCTGTTTAGATACTCAGCTTCCTTTGTGGTATTTTCTTTTAAAAACTACACCACTCTTGCTTCTTCTCTCTTCCTCTTAATTAATCAAGATTCAATATTTCAAGAAGAATCATCAGAACAAATTTGTACTAAGTTAGACACTCAAATCTGGTCTGTTTTTTTAATAAATGAGTCTTTTCTAGATATTCTTTGCAAACTCAGTGTGAGAGATTATTCCAACAAGTTGATGAAGACAGAATCTTTTCCTAAGATCCTTGTAAAAGAGAAATCTGGATCCCTTTCCCCACTCATGGCGTGGGGCGGCCCAGTTCTAGTTCCATTTCCATCTGAAGAACCATTGCGACGCTTTGAAGGATGGGGAAAGGGAACTCCAGGGGTTTCTCAGGGGTCTTTTCAGGCCCTGAGCCTGGAGGGGAGAGGTGCTCCCCCCTCCCCCTGGCACGTGGCCCCATGGCCAGCAGGGAGACAGGACACCGGGCGTGGAGAGGAGGCAAGAGGGTGTTTATTGTGGGGGATGTTACATTTATAGGGTTTAGGAGGATTCACAGAGTAACCAATTAGAAGTCTCAAGGGGTTTACAGGAACACCCAATCACAGGAAGGAGTTAACAAAGGCCAATGGGAAACACCTCAGGACACCTTCCCAGGACATTCCTGCATGGATAACACGGAGGGTGCTGGGAAGAAGAAGCATGTGTTTGCAAAGAGACCACCAAAAACCATTTTAAAACCTGTTTAAACCACAGTTTTCCCATATAATGCAGGTTTAGTGCTACAGAGAAACTTCTTTAGTTGTTTTGGTGTACTGTGACATTCGTTCAGGGAATGGTCTGTCTGTGCAATCTTCTGGCAGATATTATGGAATGATTGGGAAAGAAAATGCAAAGGTGCCGTGCTTCTGAGAGTCTTCTTGAAGATTCAGGAAACATCTTAAGTGATGATGGAATCTCTTGATAAGGGACAGTTAACTTCTTGAACTGCTACTAATTAATTTGTTTCCTGATCAAGATAACCACATTACAAAAGATTAATAATTGCGTGGAAAGATGAAGACTTTTTTTCATAATAGAAATTTACGAGATTTTTCTTAGCAATTATGTCTAAACACAAATATTAAATAGGTAGTTCCCTTGCCAAGTAATTATTATTAAATTTTGTATGACTGTATCTGGAAATAGTTCAATATGGATATTCCTTGGACTAGTAAAATAGATTTTTCCTGTCTTTTTGTTTTCAAAGTTGGAATAGTACAAAGGCTGGATACATTTCCTAGGATCATTTTTTGGGAATAGGTTCTGGTCCATCAACCAAGGAGGGAAGAAATAAACAAGTTGTCTTACTGCAATATCTAAATTGCTTAGAAATCCTGTCCTGCCTACAGTAGTTAAACGGGCAGCAAGGCCTCTCCTGTCGTCTGTACCTGAGGAATTGTTTTATTTTAAAGTACTATTCTTTTTAAGCAAAACAAAATATGAAACATGAATATGCTGAGAATTATAGTTAAGAGATGGAATGAGTTAATCTCCTAGTCTTTTCCCTTCCACTGGTACATTTTAAATGTCACTGTATAGCTCTTCATGTAGTGGTTGAAGGGACTGATGAACAGCATGACCTTGAAGATGCTGAAGTTACCATATACAGGTCATATGAGGTCGTTGACTTGTCCTGTGGGGTAAGTTGGTGATTTCTCGCACCTTTGGATCAAGAAAGAAGAGAATCCCATTCCTCCTGCATTAAGCATCAAAATCTTTCCTTTGAGTAAAGTGGCTTATTTAGTTGCTTAATGATAGTAAGTGCTGTAGCTTTGTGACCAGAAAGTTCTTTCTAGATCTTCTACAGATTTAAAGATTATGAAAACATGCAAGTCTGCTTTTTCTTCGGATGGCTAACTTGGCTTGCTTGCTTTGTTAGAATAGCCTGCTCTGTGGGTAGTTCTGTCACTTAGATAGGTATTGCATTCTAGTGTTCACTCAAATTCTTCTGAAAGTGCTCCTGAGGCTTAACTGTATTAGACAGAGTGACTTCCAAAAGTGGGATATATGGCTGATATGGTTAGGAAGCTTTGCAACTGCTTTCAAGATTGTGTTGTTTCCTTCTACCATGCAAAATGCAGCATAACACCATTGAGATAAAAGTAAAATTTTTGAAGGTTTAAAAATAGCACAGACTACAGACAGGTTCTCTTCTGATAATACTGTTTGATTGGGGTTTTTTACTGGGTTCTGAAGTCTCAGATATTTGAGGATTCAGCCTTTAATGCTTCTAAGTAAAGCCGTTATTTGTTGATTGGTCCTGACAAGTCTTGCTAAGTCTTCACAAGCTTTTTTTTATAATCTCAGTGAGTACTTAGTTTTTCCAATATGCTAGTGGATTTTCTGTTTTTGTTTATGTTTCATGTATGTGAATGTTTCAAACCTCAAAATAAAGCGAGTTTAGCTAGAAATAAAAATTAGAAGTAATAGAATACAGCAATGCTATCTTTCTAGTATCTGTGTATTCACTCATCTTGTCTGGTGAGTAGGATTTTTTTCTCTTTTAGGGTAATCTGTAATGAGATTTCTTTTTCCTAAATTCCATATGTTTTGAAGAAGAGTTCTCTTTAGGTAAAAAAACCATTGGCAAGATGCTACTTGTATAACTTCAATCTTAATGGACCTCTAGATTTCAGTTCGTAATTGCTGGAAGAGTTATGATGGTCACTTTGTTTCTGGGATGTATCATCTCTGTGTGATCTATTCGGATGAAGTATTAAGATGAATCACTAAGCAACTGGATTGAAAGTGAGAGCTATAGAATGTTCTGCCTTGATGGGTGCTTTAACAGGCTTCCCAGGTTTGATATCTGTGATTAATTTGTCTGAAAAAAAAATGGCTGTGTTTCTATCTATTTGCTCTGACTTTCAGTGTTGCACTTGAAACATTTACAGGCCATCTACAAACTGAATTACAACTGGGTATCCTCTGGGGAGGTTTTTTGTATTGGTTTTTTAATGAAGTTTACTGAATTTTTATTAAACTACTTAAATATTTTCTTAAAAATGGAGATTTTTTTTTTCTTAAGAACTATTTTTGCTAATTCATTTCAAGTTTACAAATTAAAGGGATTATAAATTTGGACTTACCCTTCAGGCCAGGTTTTGGACCAGGTTCTGTGGCTCCATGTCTCACATCATTGCCATAGAGCAATAGGTGAAGCAGTCTTATGGGTGCTTCTATGTGTAAAAAATGTAGGTCTGTTTAAAATTACTTTGGTAGCAAAGCAGTAAGATCTGGGAATGGTTCCACAGGAAAGTGTCATGTTGGCTTCAAGGGTGGCTTGATTCTGATCATGTGTTCAAGTACCATAATGAGGGCAATTAATGTAAGACTCCTGTAACAGTCATTCTGTTTAACTTTATGCTACTGAAGCTTACACTTTCTCAAGTGACAGGTATCTCATACCCAGAGCTTCCAAAAAAAGGATCTAGGTGTTCACCATAAAGCTTCATAGATGCAGCTCACTCTTTTCTATGTGATAGCTCCTGACAGGCAGGTATTGCTGAGACTAGAGCATGTGCCAGCTACTCAAGATCCTCTTTATTCTTCCATGAGTCTTTTGCTGAGCATATACTTCTGTTTATAATATCTAGGATGTCTGAAGATGTGAAAAATAGAACCTGTTTCTTTGGAGAACTGCACACACTTTTAAGCTGATCCTTATATTATTGCTTTATGCTGAGCAGTGTTAGAGTTTTCCCATTTGTTTGTTTTGCTTCTTTTTTTTTGTTCTTGTTCTTCCTATGCCTCCTTCAGTAGTCCATGAGCTGCTGAAACCCTGTACTGCCTCATAGCTTAACATTTCTGATACCTTCTTACAAAAGCAGAGAAACACACCCCCCTTGAAAAATTGCAACCCTTCAAAAATATTAAAATGCTGTACAGTTTGTGGATCTGCATTATCCATCTAATCAACAGTGATCAGTAATGACTAAGTTATTTGAGGGAGGAAAAGTAGCAATCTATGGAAGTGATCAGGGTTAGGTTCATATCTATCTTTTTTTTTGTATTATTATCTTAACTTCCTTTCAAAACAAAATAGTAACTATTTTCACA